TCTTCCCTAGAGATCATGGTTGTAGTTTGTATTCCATATCAAGGCAGTAATCCTAGCTCAGTGCACTAGATCTAGACTTCTAAATAAATCCTTGTGGGTTTTAGAAAGGAGTTAAGTAGGCAAATGTCTTTGACTATTTTTATTTGTTTTTTATTTATGTATTATGTATTGGATTCGGGTATACAACTTAGTGGTTAGACAATCATATACTTTATATAGTATTCCCTTGATATTTCCACTACCCTATCTGGTACCATACATAGTTATCACCATATTAATAACTATATTTCCTATTTCCTTGACTATCACCATGGAAATGCCATAGTTAAATCATTCCAATTGTGATTGATTTGATAACTCCCACAGTACTCTTAGCTGCTGTGTGGCCTGCCTTCTCACCATGCCCACTCTATTCCTAGGAGACAGAGGTGAGGATCTCAGAAACTGACTCTGTTTAATCAGTTCACACCTACTGCCATATCACACCCTATTCTCTCTTCCCATTCGGATGGAGTTAGAGGGTATTCAAAGCAGCTTGATAGGAAGCGTCACAGACCCCTTCTGCTACCTATGCCCTGTGTCAGGCCTTCCGATGCCACCTAAGTCTTTTCTTCTCCAAGATAAACAGTCCTGGATCCTACACCATTCTTCATGGTGTTGATTTTCAGGCCCCTCTCTACCCTGATTACTACCCTCTGGCTCTGAATCCTTTTCTCCAAGTTCCTCTGAAAAGAGGGCTCAGAATTGAATGCTGCTCTCCTACAGTGGTGGAACTACCTTTTCATTACTTCTATCATTCTACCCTCTCAGTCTGTTTCTCCTTTATTTCCATATTTTATTTTTTAAAAATATATTTTATTGATTTTTTACAGAGAGGAAGGGAGAAAGATAGAGAGTTAGAAACATCAATGAGAGAGAAACATCGATCAGCTGCTCCCTGCACATCTCCCACTGGGGATGTGCCCACAACCCAGGTACATGCCCTTGACCGGAATCGAACCTGGGACCCTTCAGTCCATAGGCTGACGCTCCATCCACTGAGCCAAACCAGTTTCGGCTTCCATATTTTAAAAAGAGGCTTTATTTTCTCTTGAACCTCAATAACTATAACTTGTTTATTTAAATATAGAATTTGTCCCCTAACTTATAATTGCACTCATTTTTTTGGCAGTCACATTCCACAGCTAGCTTATCTTAAACATATATACCCTCAAAAATGGGTGAATGAGAAGACACACATATTGATTGATCCACTAAGTCAAGCCTGTTTTCATCATTGCTGTGGAAAATTTGATATAATTACTAGGTTAGCCAAAGGAAGGAGATGAAAAATAAAAGCTAGACTCGAGTACTAGTCATATCTCCTGACCTTTCTCCCTTGAGAAGCCTAAGCAGCTATGTGTTGTAAGGGCTAAGGTTAACAGTTTTGGGGTTCTCTAACTACTCCCATATTCTTACATTCAATCTCTTATTTCTTTGATAAAGGAAGTTTCTATTAGTTGTACTCTCTTTAGCAAGTCATGTGTCTTAAACCCTAGGGCTAAGATTTTGAGAGGACATTGGATTTATCCGCTTTCTTTGATAATATTGTACTCAGGACAGCATTATTAACATTTTATTTTCTTTATATCCTCTGGCAAAGATTTCCTCCTTTTTTATCATAGAAATATTTTTTTAAATGGAATTAGAGGAAGTTTGAAAGTGGGAACAAAAATCAACTAGAATCCCCCAAACTATAAGAAAACTATTTGCACTTTTGTATAATTCCCTCAAATATGTACAAGTATTTACAGAGTTATAATCATAGTGACATTCCCTTTTGTGTCCCGCTTTTTAACGTTATATCATAAGCCCTTCCCCATGTTTCTACATAATCTTCCTAATCATTTTTAATGGCTACATAATATTCCATCAAGTTAAATAAACAAGAATCCTATATAATAAAAGGTTAATATGCATATCCCTTCGGGAGTTTGGGAGACTGTGAGTTTGATCACTTGCTATAATGTGCGCTGACCACCAGGGGGCGATGTGGAACATGGCAGGTGACCAGTAGCTGCAGCAGGGTGCTGAGGGAGCAAGGGAAGGAGGAGGTGGAGAGACCAGGAGGCGGGGAACCTGATTGGCCCTGATCGCATGCCAGGCCAAGGGACCCTACCCGTGCATGAATTTCATGCACCGGGTCTCTAGTGTATTTATAATTAGCATTAGCTTTAAAGAAAAACAGTTTACTAAGCACTCTAGGGTCCCACCATACTATGGACAGTTACATTTCTTCTAATCCATACTTAATCTTTACATGCTACAACACATATGATGTAATAGAAAGAAAATGTCACCTTGACAATGACAATGAATAGCATATTTGAGGAATTAGGAAGCTTTACTGACATCTCTATTTGTTCTTTCTTTTCCAGAGCCCACTTTTTCTTATTTTTCATTTCTGTTATATTCCATACTGATGCTGAGATCTAATAATATCCTTGTTGCACTTGGGGATTTGATAATTGTTCTTTCCCTGAGACTATTTATTTATTTATTTATTTAATATTTTTATTTATTTCAGAGAGGAAGAAAGAGGGAGAGAGAGATAGAAACATTCATGATGAGAGAATCATGGATCGGCTGCCTCCTGCAAGTCCCCCACTGGGGATCGAGCCCACAACCTGGGCATGTGCCCTTGACCCGAATTGAACCTGGGACCTTTCAGTTCGTAGGTCAACGTTCTATCCACTGAGCCAAACCAGTTAGGGCTCCCTGAGACATTTTAAATGGGAGCAGTGAAAAGAACTATTAAGTACTTCCTGAACTGTCTTCTAAGGATAAATGAGCTGTCCCTAATGGCTTCTTATATTGCTCCAATATGGTCACTCACTGATATCTGTACTTACCTGCCATGACATGCTGGTGTGACATTGTTACCAGTTTTTTTCAGCTGTGTTCACATGCCTACCTTAGGGAGAATGGGAGCAGGGGTGAGGAAGACTCTGCCCAGTTGCCTGATGTCAAGATAGAAAAGTTCCTACCAGAAGATATGCACACTACTTTCCCTGCTTCACTGTAGCTAAGATACTTCCAAATATGATTGGGTGAGAAAGGGAAAGAGAGAGGGAGGAAGAGAAGGAAGAAAGAGTCAAGCAAACACTGGGAGTTACTTACCGATCTTCCAGTTAGTCAAGGAAAAGTCTCTATGAAGGCAGAATTTTGGGAGCTGTTTCAGCAAAAGTAATGAAGCTAAAAGAGTATTTCTGGAATAGGTGGCATGTTCTTCCTGGTCAGGAATTGGATACAAATGAATACAGAACATCTTGGGCATTTCAATTAATAAGGGCAGCTGCCATTAGTAAAATAAATGTCAACACAGGCACAGAGTATTAATTTGTATAACTGTTGAAATACACTTAATAATTAATGGCTGATTTGGATTGTTAGAAGAGATAAGGGTGTGTTAGGGGAGACAAAGTGGAGGTAGAGACAGGCCTGGAAGTGGTAAGTCAGTCACTACAATGCTCTTCATTAGGGGCTCAACATTTACGAAAGGTGTTATAAAAATCACATTAAGCTTTTATTTTTTAAAATAGATTTTTCTTGATTTCAGAGAGGAAGGGAGAGGGAGAGAAAGATAGAAACATCAATGATGAGAGAGAATCATTGATCTGCTGCCTCCTGCATTCCCCACACTGGGGATCAAGCCCACAACCTGTGCATGTGCCCTGACTGGGAATGGAACCATGCCTCCTGGTTCATAGGCCGATGTTTAACCACTGAGCCATGCCAGCTGGACTCACATTTAGCTTTTATATGAAAGCAAGTGTCCATAGTTCATTCTCACCAAGAACATTTTCATATGCTGATGATTTCTAATGTGGACAGTGGCCATTAGTTTAAAAATATTTAAGTTCAAAATGGAAAACTGTGGCTGTTTTATTTTTCCTCCCTATGACTTACAGTGTGCCTGAGGCTAATTGTGTTATCTCAGTACTTTCTTATTAGACCAAAAATCTCTTTCATTGTTTTTCCCTTTCATCAATGGCTAGCTGTATTCAATAATCTGTTTATTCACAAATGTGTCCTGAATACTTACTCTGTTAAAAACACCATGCCTGACACTGGTAGGCTTGTTGTCTGAGCTTATCCAAACTGTTTTTCCGGGCCAGCTACCTTAGATGGCTAAGATGTTGCTTTAAGGAATGGTTTGGTTTTGTCAATTCCTGTTCCCTTTTGGGAAGTTTCCTGCTGGTGCCTCTGTTGCCAAATTGTTGTAGATGTTATGAAGATCTTTTGAATTGGTCCTATAAGAAAGAACTTTAGAGATATGAATAGATCAAGCTAAACCAATAACTACTAAAATTAGTGAAAATGTTTATGCTTAACCAGCTTCTAAAAAATGGTCCTAAGACTTTGGGGGTCTTTGTCATAGAGAATTGCAGGCAAAACTTTATACTCGAGTCTTTGCACTCTAAAGACTTTGAGATCCAACTTTTCTAATTCTTCACTGGTGGAGTGACTTCCTTCTCTAAACCTTAATTTCCTCATATGAAAAAAATAAATGACTAGAGGCCTGGTGCACAAAATTCGTGCACTCGGGGGGGGGGGTGTCCCTCAGCCCAGCTTGCACCCTCTTGCAGTCCAGGACCCTTAAGGGATCGGGCCTAAGCAGGAAGTCAGATATCCCTCTCGCAGTATGTGGCTCTCGCAGTCTGGGACCCCTCACTCCTTACTGCCCACCTGCATTGGAGACAGGAGAGGCTCCTGCCACCGCCACTGTGCTCATCAGCCGTGAACCCACCTTCTGGCTGAGTGGTCTTCCCAATGTAGGAGCTGTTCATAGCAACCAGTCATTCTGCCATTCAGTCAATTTGCATATTTGGGTTTTATTATATATAATTGTTCCCTGTCTACCTCATGGAACTGAATTGAGGCTCCAACTACTTAGGAAGTGGTAAAGCTTTCAAGGAACCAGGGATATCCTCAGACTGGGCTCTTTTTTTTGTCTGCAGGGCTACCTGAAGCAGTGCCGAAAGAGAAGGGACATGTTCAGTGATGAGCAATTGAAGGTCATCTTTGGGAACATTGAAGACATCTACAGGTTTCAGATGGGCTTTGTGAGAGACCTGGAGAAACAGTACAACAATGATGACCCCCACCTCAGTGAGATAGGACCCTGCTTCCTGGAGCACGTAAGTATCTTTCTCTTTGGGGAGAGTTTTGAAAGATGTTAAAAAAGAAAGACTCGTGGACAGAGACAACAGTATGATGATTACCAGAAGGAAGGGGGTGGAGGGAGTATAGGAGGTTAAAGGGGGGATAAATGGGGATGGAAGGACACTTGACTTGGGTTGGTAAACACACAATACAATATACAGATAATGTATTGTAGAATTGTATACCTGAAACCTATACCATTTCTGGTATAATTTTATTAACCAATGCCACCCCAACAAACTCAGTAAAAAAAAGAAAAAGTAAAAAAAAGAAGCATTGGAAGGAGTGTCTGAGCTCCCTGGTCCTGCTCAGCTGGTTTGTCCTGTGGTAGCGGATGGATTCTTCTCTGACTTTGATGTTGATAACTTTGCCAGTGCATGAGGACTTAAGACGGTACTGTAATTTGGAGTAGGACTCTCTTACTTTACGTTTCCCCTCTTTTTTCTCTCTCCTTCCAGAGGGTAACCAGTAAGATTTTTCTTCAGCTTATTTTTTTTTTGTTGGGTTCAGTTTCTGTGGGACCTGATGTTTTTGGAAGGGCTTTGAAATTGTTCACTACATGGATAATCCAGGGATCTGAGTAATAGGAGAGCCCATGATCAGCATGAAAATAGGTCTCTTGAGGCATTTAGGGGAGAGTACTAGGGTAGGAGAAATTATATGTGTAGGAAAAGAGGCCACATGGCTTAGAGAAAGGAGCACTAGGGTACAGGAAAATGAGGATTTGAGTCCTGTACCAGTATCTGTTATGACTGTCTGGATAACTTTGGATAAGTCCATTACCTTCTTTGGGCTTCCTCATCTGGAATATAAGAAGGTTCACTCTGGCCCTAGCCGGTATGGCTACGTGGATAGAGTGTCAGCCTGAGGACTGGAGGGTCTCGGGTTTGATTCAGGCCAAGGGCACATGCCTGGGTTACAGGCTTGATCCCCAGTGTGGGGCATGCAGGAGGCAGCTGATCAGTGATTGTCATCATTGATGATTCTATCTCTCTCTCCATCTACCTTCCTCTATGAAGTCAATTATAGATTGTGGTTCTCATTCATAGCTGACCAAGTTGTTTTAACAACTCTCTTCTCCCATTTTATAAAGTATTTATTTTTTAAAGAGATAACATGTGCACATGATACAAATTTCAAGTGGCACATAAAAAAGTGTGTAGCTACAAGTAAGTCTTCTTAAAAATACTGCTTTGCTTATGGATATGTAATTTAGTGGTTTGCTAGAGGGACTTGCAGGACTCAACATATAGTTATACTCATGGTTATGATTTATTATAGCTAAAGGATACAAAACAATATCAGCAAAAGGAAAAGACACCAGGAGTAATGTCTGGATGAAACCGTACTCAAGTTTCCAAGAGTCTTCTCTGAGTGGAGTTCACATAAGATGCCCTTAATTCCCCTTGCAATAAGTTGTGACAATACATATGAAACATTCTTTACCAGGGAAACTCATTAGGGAATCAGTACGTAAGCATTTTATGGGGGGTCTGGTCACATAGGCACCCTTTGCCTAGCATGTACCCAAATTCTAGACTCCCAGAAGGAAATGGGACATTCAGTATAAACCACATCCTATCTAATAAAAGAGAAACATGGTAATTAGCCGTACGGCCACTACCCTTCCCATTGGCTAATCACTGAGATATGCAAATTAACTGCCAACTAAGATGGCGGCCAGCAGCCAGGCAGCTGATGCGAACAGGGAGACTTGCTTGCTCCAGTGACGGAGGAAGCCAGGTTCCCCGCCTGCTGCTGGCCTCTCAGCTGCTCTCTAAGAAACATTGTAACAAATATAGAAGCTAAACAAAACCCTAGAAACCTGCTTTCAATCAGCCAGGCTTCAGCCAGGCTGACCGCAACATTGTTTCAAATACAGCCGAGGCCTCAGAGCTAAAGCTGGCCCAGAATAAAAAAAAAAAAAAAAAAAAAGGAATGGTTGGGAGCTTCAGTCACCTGCCAGCCTGAAAACGGCCCTCAGCCCCTCATCCAGGCTGGCCAGGCACCCCAGTGGGGACCCCCCACCCTGATCCAGGACACCCTTCAGGGCAAACCAGCTGGCCCCCACCCATGCACCAGGCCTCTATCCTATATAGTAAAAGGGTAATATGCCTCCTGGCACCAGGATCAGCGGAGCCGCGGAGGCCTCCCAGCACCGGGATCAGCGGAGCAGCGAGGCCTCCTGGCACGGGGATCAGTGTGACAGGGGGCAGCGACCAAGCCCCCTGATCACCCTGCGGCTCTGTGTGTGACAGGGGGCGGGGCCACAACCTCCCTATCTGCCCTGCTCTGTTCGTGACAGGGGAAGGCGCCCCAACCCCCTGATCAGCCTGCTCTGTGCCTGATGGGGGGAGCTCCCCAACACCCTGATTGCCCTTCGGCTCTGTGTGTGACAGGGTGCAGCGCCCCAACCCCCCCCCCATGGGCCCTGCTCTGTGTGTGACAGGGTAGAGCCATAACCTCCCCATCGGCCCTGCCTGAGTATGACAGT